GACTTTACCAAACTAAACGAGACCCTGGGACAACTAAACATGACCTTCGCAAAAGTAAACGAGACCCTGGGACAACTAAACAGGACCCTACCAAAACTAAACGAGACCCTAGCTGTTGAGGGCGCAGCTGTTGAGTAAGCGAGCGGTGGTCCAGGCTTTTTTCTCTGCGGTGTCGGGTGAGTGACTGATTGAGTCCTTGCTCTTGCGAAGGCGATAGGGTGCCCTCCGCTATTTTTGCACTGCGCGCTGGGGCTCAGCTGCTGCTCGCACCGATGGCCGCTCGTCCCTGGCCGAACCTGGGCCTTGCCTGGGCCTCTGGCGTGGCCGAGTCACTGCCTCTAGCGCGCGGCTGCCTCTGGCGCCTTCTGAGGCCAAGGCGGCGTCGCGGCAGCTGGCGCCGCGACACTTGCGAGCGGAAAAACACGTCGTCGTCACCGCCGCCATCGTAGTCGGCGCCATCATGACCACCCACATCACCAGCGCAATCAGCGACATCATGACCGCCGACATCATGACCATCGTCATAATGACCCCTGACATCATGACCACCGACATCATGACCATCGTCATCATGACCACCGACATCATCTCAATCCTCAGCTTCACTCCCGCCGCCCTCATCGACCACCGACCATGGTCGTGTTCGTCGTGCTGTAGTGGTCGCCATCATCACCACCGACCATGGTCGCGTTCAGTTTTCTCCTGGGTCGCGTTTAGTTTCCCACTGCTGGGTCGTCCTGGACGGCGCCAAGGGTGGGGGCGAGCATGCTCTGCCCCGGCCTGCCGAAGGCATTGTGACGAAAATGAAGATGATGACGATGATGGCGATGATGATCGTGATGATGGTGATGACGATGCTGGCGGTGCACTACATATACGACCCTAGGGAATGACGATGCTGGCGAGGACGACGCTGACGATGCGGCTGAGGAAAACTAGACGAGACCCTAGGAAAACTAAACAGGACCCTAGCAAAACTAAACAAGACCCTAGGTAAACTAGACAAGACCATAGGAAAACTAAACGAGACCCTAGGACAACTAAACAGGACCCCAGGACAACTAGACAAGACCCCAGGACAACTAAACAGGACCCTACCAAAACTAAACGAGACCGTAGGACAACTAAAGAGGACCCTAGCAAAAGTAAACGAGACCCTCGGACAACTAAACAGGACCTCGGCAAAACTAAACGAAGGGGTGAATCAAGGGGCGCCAGCGGATGGGCTTACCGAAGGGGTGAATCAGGTGGGGCGGGATGGTGGGGCGCTGGTTTCGGTCGCCGAACCAGACGGCCTGCCCGCTCCGCTTGATTCCACCCTTCGGTTGGCCCAGGGCCCACCGCGTCGGCGTGTGGGTACTGTGTGCGGAGCTGCTTGAACGTCTTGCTCAGCAGCGCGTTGTCCATGCTCTGGGGGACCGCGACGAGGCCAGGGGTGAAAGCAGCCAGCGCTGCCCTCGCGTCGGCCGCCTTATCGGCGCGACAAGGCCCGTATCCGCGCTTCTCCGTCTTGAACATCACCGATCCTGGGAGCTGGATGCGAAACGCGCGCATCGCTGCCCTGACGCTGCGCTCGCCGCTCAGGTCCGACAACGTCGTGGACGCCTTGACGATGAAAGGACCAGGTCAGTGGCTTTGACCGCGTTCTCCGACAGAGCTTTCTTGTAGGCAACCTCGTCGTCATACGTGTTCACTGGTTTGATGATGGCGTTGGTCGCGTCGAACAGAAGCGTGGGCATGGCCTTGGATTCCATGATGAGCGCCGCTCTCGCCTTGGCCTCTTCTGCCTTCTTCTTCCTGGAGTCCTCGTCCGCCTTGGCCTTCTTCTGCTGCTGCTTCTGGTTGACCTGCTTCTTGTCGAAGCGATCCGCCGCGCCTGCAACCTCGTTGCAGGAAGCTCGACGCCAAGTGATCAGCTTGTCCTGCAACTCCTCGGCTGTCATGTTCGGCCAGGACACTACCTGCACGAACTGCTCGCTGGAGCGGCGAGGGCTGGCCGCAGTGCGCTACCAAGTCACGGGCGCGAGGCAGATCTGTGTCTTCACCTACCGCTCCTTGCTCGACTACTCGGTCCTGGCGAACGCCGTGCCCGGAGAGAAGGATGACCTCTTCGAGTGGCTGACCGATCTCATCCGTGGCATCTGGGTGGAGGAGCAGCTGAACATGGTCAAGTCGACGATCTGGAGGGCAACTGTCCCACAGGGACCGTTCATGTACATCCCTATGGGGTCAGTTGTGCTGGAACGCAGCGTCGGCGACAACCTCGCCACGGGCTTCAGGGCCAGCGTCATGACTATCGACGCGGAGGTGCTCGACAGCTTCAAGGAGATGATGCGGGCTTACGGTAACCCTGGGGCCCCGCCGACGAAGTTCCTCGACGAGGTGACGAAGGTCATCGCGGCGGCGATCGACGAGTCGAAGAAAGTTGTCGGCGGCAAGGGCGCAGAGCAGAAGAAGCAGTAGGCGGCCTGAGGAAGAGGGATCGTCGATGCTCGACGCCAGGGGCGCTGGGGCCAGTGGCGCAGCGAACAGTTTGAACATTGGGGTTGTATTTATTGATCTGTGTTTGCACAGGCGCTGTTGTGGAAAAGTGGAGAAAGAATGGTGGAAACGCGTATGGTTGGACAATGCGGTGGAACAAGTAAGGTGGAACTTTACAGCCTCTGCCTCATATCCGCCCGCTCCCCACTCCAATAGCTTCCCACCCTTCGTGCCCTGCCCCGCCTGAAACCATTTCAAAACTCAGGCTCCTTCATACATGCTGATTTCTACACGGTGAACTCTTCCACGCGTGGCCATGTCTGCGCAGCCCAGGACTCCTCCGCATCCATCGCCACCCGCCACCGCCGCAGTCGGGGAACAGCGGTTTCGGCTACTACCCCTTGCCGAGGACCGCGTCGGACAGGTTGCATGCAGGCCCAGAGCCGGAGCTACCCCAGGAGACGCCGCCGCCCGCAGATGCAATGGTGACGGTGGTGGAGGACAGCTTGAGCGACGCCGAAGGCCCTGCGCATGAAGCCTCATGGCGTGGAGATGGTGGTGCCACCCAGGAGGATCTCCAGGACAGCATGCCGCGTGGCCTGAGTTTTGCCGCCGCATACAGCGCGCCACCGCATGCCGACGGCGGCGAGGGATCTTCAGCGGCGGCCCCTGCGGGCATTGGGGAGACGCCAAAGGCTGAGCTGCCAATGGCAACGGCAAAGTCTGATGAGGGAGGGGGTCGGAATCGGCCTCGGCGTAAGGTGACGAAGGTCGTATATGAGAAGCGCAGGAAGTGCATCGTGCATACTTTCAAGGAGGGCGAGGTGATCCCCGACGGCCTTGGCGATATCTTCCAGGGCCTGACTTGGGTGAGCCATTCCTATCCGCGCAAGACCCCGCGGAAGAAAACCTTGAAACAAATAAATGCCCCAACCGAACCAGAAAACTAAGAAACTGAGAACAAGTAAAACCATTGAAAACGAAAACATGCAAAACCATCGAAACTACGAAAACCATGAAACCTCACATTTCGAGAAACCTTGCTTTCTGCCTTATGTAATTCGCTGGCGTTGCGCCCAGGGCGGGGGTGGAGTTTCTTGGCGGCGGCGGAACGGCGCAAACCTTATGAATAAGGGGCGCCGCGGCAATGCGCGCCCCGACGGGGGCGCGAAAGAACCGCGAACACAACGGAACATCATTCATGATTTCGCCAGAATATAATCGAGGAGCCCGCGCGCGGCGGCGATCCAGGCCCATGGCGCGTACCGGAGCGCCTGGAATGCGGAAGACGGTTCCGTGACTGTCCCGACAAGCAAGCCAGAATCGTCAACTGCGGCGCGAGGCAACCCTGGGACTGCCCCATTCCAACTGCCCGTATACGGCCGTGGGACCCCCGCGAAGGCCCTGGGCTGCAAACCACCCGAACATCCGAACGTTTCCACGCATGCGCAGGAGACGCCGCAATGGGATCCTCGAAAGCCCCCGCGCAGCCGAAGACAGCCCAGGAGGCGCCGTAAACGGTCACGAAAACTATCGAGGGTGCCCCTGGACGGCTCTAACAATTCCCCACGCGGCCCCAAGACCATCCCGACGGATTCAGAGGACTGAACCCCAGGGCCCCGGGCCACGCCAAGGACGACCAAACGAAGGCCACGAAGGCCAACGAGAAGTGGAGACGAACGTTGCCACGTGTGGCGGCTGTCCTTCTCCTCTTCCACCGCCCCCTCGAAATCATCGCAAACTCTTGGCCCGTCGTCGACGCCGGCCCCTTCTTCCCGGAACGCTCGGGCCCAGGCGGCGGCGGGGGGGGGTGGGCCAGAGGAAGCTGGGCCATCCCATGCCTCAGAACATGTTCCGAAATATAGAATGGATGAAACTCGGTCGGGCCGAGGAGCACCGACGACAGTCCAAGTCGTGGCAGCGCTGGCGCGGATAGCGCGCGCTCGCCTCCGCAGAGCTGGCGAACCCCACCCAAAACATCAAAACAACAGTTTCGGCCCGCACTGTTCCATTGGAGCTTCGCCAAAACATTGGCCGCCAACGCCGTGCGACGGCAAACGCTGGAGTTCGGCCCCAGGGCCCGAACGACCACATGGAAGACGAGGCCGCCACGGCGGCCAGACAGCCGACCCGGCCGACCGACTGAACTGACTGGTTGTCCGCACAGGCGGGCATCATTTTCCAAGCGCGTCACCTGTCTTGGGGCGAAGGCAGCGGCGCCGCAGAGCAACTCGCTCCGAGGGGGATCGAAGCAAACATCCTATGCAAACTGAGCATTCAGCCACTCGCCGCGTCCGCCGTGCAATCGTTTTCCCTCCCCCCCTTTCCTCCCGTTTGCCTTCCTCGTGGCCCGGCCCTCCCAAATCCCCCGTCGCCTCCCCCGCCGCCCCCTGTTCCCCCTTCCCGCTTTCTCCTCCCGCGTTCCTTTCTATCCGCCTCCCCAGTGGCGCCGCGCTGGCCTGCAAGCTTCGCGGGCGCAGCGAGCGGGCACCCCGTCGGCTGAAAAACCAGTGCGGCTGCTACGCCGGCCGCTGAAGCCTCGCACGCTTCTGCTGGGGCAGGCCAGCCCACTTGAAGACGTCATCTGCTGGACTACTACGCGCAAAACGCTTCGGACCAACCCACTCCACCTCCAGGGGCGATTGGAGTACATCTGTGTCCGCCATGGCCACAACCCCCCTGTCCTTGATCCTCGAATTGCTCATCGCCATAATCAATATTGCGGCCAACACAGGAACGGATTGGGTGTCGCCGCTGAGGCTGCGGAGGTCGGAGTCGCTCAAGCCCTCCAGCGCCGAATCCACTTCGGCCTTTGGGAGCGAAGCCTCGTCGTGGATTCCGACAGGACGGGCGGGCCCTGACGGGAACTCGCTGATGCGAATGTTCGCGGGGAATCCTTGGATGATCAGCTGCTCAAGGCCGCTCAGAGGCCTGCCTACCTTGGTGTTCCAGTGGATGTGGCGACGCATCATGCAATCCATGGCCCCGGCGTTGCTGGCGTCCTTTTTCCGGGGCCACGACAGCGAGTTCTGCAAGTCCCAGGTCATCGAGACGTCCTCGGGGTTGTAGTCCCCGGCGCTCTGGGCAACCGCCGAAGTGATCGCCAGGACATTGGCCTCGCAGTCCGTCAACCTCTGGGCCCACCAGGACTTCGCTTTGAAGTCCGCAACAGATGGGACCTGCACCCCGCGCTGGCTCAGTGCCTCACGGAGGCTGGCGGCGAAACGCTGCGCCTTCGAAGTCGCCGCCTCTTGGGGCGCGACCCGACCTCTTGACCGCAACTGCCATCATCTCTCTCCTCATTTTGTGCATGGCCCCCTGCCCCGCTGGAGGGATGAAGCCGTCCACTATCTTGCGGGGGAAGGCCGCCGCGATGTCTCGCAGCTGCCCCGCCCACTCTGAGATGGGGACCGCGACGGCGACCTGCGCTGGATCCAGCAAGACCACCCACATTCTAGTGCGACTCGTCGGCACCCTGAAGAACAAAGAATTGCAAATAATTGGCCACGCAACATATTTCAATTGTCTGCACAATGCCAGGATGTTCGCTAAAGCGGCGTGGTCCACGACGTTCTCGAGTACCGCGTGAGGGGGGCGCTGCAGAGACAAATACTTCAAGCTACCGTGGAAGGTCCTCGTGCTCTCCCCCGAAGTATCCGTCAACCTCACGTCCAAGGGCTTCCGCGAACTAGTGTGGACTCTCGATAAATCTCTGCGCGCGGTCCCTGCGGCATAAATTTTGCATTTCGGAGCTGGTTCTGTCCGCGAGAGTCTCTTCTTTCGCAGCCTGTGTCTCACTGGCAAGAACACTTGGCTCAAGGGTTGCTCAAGGTGTTACTTCTCTTACAGCTTACTTCTCTTACAACCAACTCTCACATCTTATTTTTGTCTCGCTGCGCGGATCGGCGCCTCCACGCAGGTCGCGACGAGGATGAGCGATACAAGGAAGTTGAAGGCCAATGGCAGTGGTGCCGAAGCGCCTGAGAGGAAGACCGCTAGGGTCGACGAGAAGGACGACGATCTCCAGGTTGACGAGTCGGCGCCCGACTGGGCCCAAAGCATGCAGAGGATGATGATCAAGATGATGGGGACGGTGAACAAAACGGCAACGGACACGCAGACGGTGAAGTTGCTGGCGCAGGAGGCGAAGGACGAGGCGACGGCGGCCAACGCGGCGGTCACCCAGGTTTCCGCGGACGTGGAGAATATGAAGAAGGAGTTGCCCAGCTTGGTGAGGGACATCGTCAAGGGGGAGGGGCTGTCCGGGACCGTATTTTCTTCGACGGCAGCCGGCAGCGCCGCCAAAGGCAAGGGCAAAGGCAAATCAGAGACGGTGGAAAAATTGAATCGCACGATGAATTTCGGAACGTTTCCCCAGGACACGAAGTCGGCTGATATAGTTAAGTTTTTGGAGGAGGTTGTGAAGGGGGCCAAGGAGGTGGAGGAGGTCTTCGCGTACGGTCGGAAGTTCGCGGAACGCGGAGCAGTTCGTTTCAAGACTCCGGAGGCGATGTGGGACTACCTGAAAAGTGGGGCGGCCAGCTCGCACACGTACCAGGAGCAGAAGATTTACGGCAACGCTGACTACAGGAATCGCGACCCGGAGTCCGACGAGGCGAAGCGGGAGCGGGCAGTGAGAAAGCTCGCGCGGGCCATCATCGAAGTCAACGGGGGGGACGGGTCCAAGGTCAAGGAGCACATTGACACGAATTACAGGAAAGGCGTGGTATGGTGGAAGGAGTGCAGGGCAGGGAAGTGGAGAGACGGATCCATGCACCTGCTGGGACCAGGTACCAGGTACCAGGCCAAGTTCGACGAGCTGCGCGCCGTGGAGTAGGGGCTCCCTCTGCGGAGGGGCGGCGGGGGAAGGGGATTGTATGCGAGTGTGTGTGGGGACGTACCCTTTTCTATCATGCGCAAGGCCGGAGTGGTGAAGCCGGACTTTGGTGTTCTGGTTGATTCTCCAGCTACTGGGCAGGATATGCAAGGGCCGGAGTTCACGAATTCATTGGATTTTATTATTCTTAGTTGGAATGCGAATGGGATGGAGGAGGGATCGATCAATGACGTTGCTGCCTTACTGGACGACGGGCCACGGTGGGATGCTTTACTGTACCAGGAGGGGCCGCTCGCGGAGGAGACTGCCGAAAAGATATTGGAATCTGGCCATTTGTGGTGTTGCTCACAGGCGCGGGCTTCGACCAAGCGCAGCGTTGGCGTCTTGATTCACAAGAGATGGGCGGTGCAGGGAGTCGATATGCATTACCGCACTGTGAGCTCTTCTTTATCTTACTTGGACGTTTCTTTGGCGGGCGGCCGCTACAGGCTCGTCACGGCACATCTATGTCACGGCGGATTTCCAGACAACATCTTCGAGGCGCAGTTGATGGAGGTCGAGGCCGTGTTGGCTGGGGTTCGGCACGAGAAGCGCACGTTTATCCTGGGGATCGATGCGAACGCCGTGCTGGGCCAGAAGCTCCCGGCGGACGATGGTAACATCATCGGGGATCACGGACATCGTCAGCGTAACCATCGAGGCCATATGTTCGCGCACTGGTTGCACGGAGCACGACTGACAGCAACGAGTCTGATGTTCGAAAACCTCTGGCAGGACGCATGGACGCACGAGATGTACAGCACTGGTGAACGACGCCAGATCGATTACATATGCGTGGAGGCGGCCAAATCCGAAAGCGTATTGCATGCTTCTGTGTTCTGGAACTTGGTAAATCGGACCACCGAGCCATTTTTACCCGGGTGCGGACGGCCGCGCAGTCTCGTCCTCGACGTCGCCGGGCCAAGATCATGCGAGGGTGGAAGCCTGCTCTCGACGACCAGGCAAAGCCCTCGCTATACCACGGTTTGCTGACGGATGGCCTCGCGCAAAGCCATGCGAATTTGTCAGATGTGAATGCCATAGTTGTGCAAGCTGCTCGGCGTGGTGGGGAGACGGCCGTGGCGCACGGGAGTCGACATAGCGATGATGTCGTTGAGCTTTTCGCTATGAGGCGGCAGGAGCACGACCCAGAACGACGGAAATCGTTGTCAAAACGTTTGTGGAGGGCTCTCCGCACGAGCAGACGTCGCCGCTATGATAGGGAGATCCGCGAAGCAGCTGCACAAGGCCGAGGATTACGTAGCCTCCAAAGGATCCAACAGCGACATGCTGGCGTCGAGAGGACCACGTCGATCGAAAATCTGGCGGGGGAGCTGGTGACAGATGGTGCAGGTATCGCGGAGGCTTTCGCCTGCTTCTATGAAGACTTGTACCGGGATGCTCAGGCAGCTGGATATGACGAGTGGCAAGGCGAACCCCGAGCTGTCTCACCGATTACACCTGCGGAGGTTACAGCGGCTCTGAAACGGATGAAAGGAGGAAGAACGGGCGCTGATGACGGATTGGTGGCGGAAATGCTCCGCTCTGGGCACGAGGAGCTGCTGAGCACCATCGCATCGTATTTCACGGATATCCTTGGCGGGTCTTTGGACGCGCCGGGAGAGTGGAAGGTCGCGCGATTGTCTGTCATCTTCAAGAAAGGTGCCAGGCACGATTTACGGAACTACCGACCTATCTCGATCATCCCAGTCCTGGCGAAGTTGTTCAGCCTTGTGCTTCACGACCGTATCAAAGACAGTGTGGAGAAACAGTTGCGGGAAGAACAATATGGCTTCCGTCGTGGTAGGGGTTGTGATGACGCTTTGCATGTTTTGAGAATGGTTGTTGAGAAGTCTGGAGAGTGGGGAGAAGAGCTCTGGGTAGCGACCCTGGACGTCGAGAAGGCTTTCGACAAAGTGCATCATGCGCAGCTTTTTGATGCACTCATGTTGGCGAACGTGGATTCTGCCGTGGTGGCGGCTCTTCGTAAGCTCTACCAAAATATGTCGGCCTATGTGCAAGTAGATCCAGGCACAGACAGTCGTCGCTTCGAGGTGCAGCGGGGAGTGCGTCAGGGAGACCCTCTTTCGCCCGTGCTGTTCAACCTGGTGATGACGCAGGTGCTGGGCGAAGTTGACGCTGCATGGCAGCGACGAGGTTACGGCACGGAGGTAGGGAGAGCGGTCGATGGGACGCGCCTCACGCACGTTGCCTTCGCAGACGACATGACGCTCGTCGCTGGATCCTGGATTTCCTTGAAGCGCATGGTCGTTGCCGTGCGAGATTCGCTGCTGAAGCGCGGCTTGAAGTTGCACCCCACGAAGTGCAAGGCGCAGACGAATCGCCCCGACGTTCGGCAACGAGGCGACGTGGCTTTGGCCAACGGTCTCTCGCTGAATGTGTTGTGGGAGGGAGAGCCCCTGGAAGTGCTCGGCACGATGCTTTCGCTCACGGACGCGACCAAGGCAGAGTTGGAGCACCGGGTTGCGATTGGGTTGCACCGGGTTGGAGAGGAGGAGGAGCAGGAGGAAAAGGATGAGGAGGGCCACCGCCAGCAGCAGCACCGTAAGGCGTCAAGCCTTGTGACGGCCTCGGGACCTCGGGACGGCCAGTGTGACCTTCAAGACTCCAAGGCTAGCTCCAAAACGGCCACATAAAATACCGCGGCTGGAGATGGCCCAATACATTTTCATTGCCCACCCAAACCATCTCAAAATGGCGCAACGCAAACCAACAAAGCCTCAAGACGGCCCGGCAGGCCCCAAAGACGGTTCCATACGCTCCAAGATACCATCCTGGAAAGCCCGATGGGGGGGGGAGGGACGGGTGAAACCATGACGTTCTTCGCAATGCTGGCATGGCATGAAGATGTCCTTTGTTGTTTTGTCCGAGCGTTCCCACAGGCCCAGGCGCCCCCGACAAATCCACGACGGCCCAGTAGACGCCCAAGAGGGCCCACCCCGGCCTGAGTCCTGAGAGGGCCCATTGATCGCGAAGGGGTTCCCGAGAGGGCCCTTGGAACTTTTACGAAACCAGCCAAGTCGCAAGGCCTCAAATCGGCCAAAGGCGATTCAAAGATCGCCCTGCGGATTTCCAAGAGCGCCCCCAGGCGGCGGCCAGGAGTCGTTCCGCAAGAAGGCACCAACGCGCTCCAGGGAGGCCCCCAAGGCGGTCTCCATCAACATCACACGGGCCAGAAGTTCTCTAACATGGACGAGACGCCCGAAGAGACCACCAACAGGCCCAATGAATTTGTCCAGGCGGGCCAAACCACTGTCAATCAAATCCCTGGTTGCCTTGGAGAGGACCCACGTGAGCCCCGAGAGGTCCCCAAGACGCCCACAGGTCCCCAAACCTGCCTCTCTCGCCCTGTGCCGCAAGGGAATTGATGTACACAGTTTTGACTCCAGCCGCTTCGCCGACACCAGGCGGTCCAAAACACAGTCATTCAAATCCTCTAGGGGCTCACGTGGGTCCCCCCAAGGAGAAGGAGGGGAAGGAGGAGGAGGCAAGGCGGATCGTGATCACGGCGTTGTCCTCTTCCGTTTCTCCCGCGCGGTAATGATGACAAGGAGGG